GAGAGAGAGAGAGAGAGAGAGAGAGAGAGAGAGAGAGAGAGAGAGAGAGAGAGAGAGAGAGAGAGAGAGAGAGAGAGAGAGAGAGAAGCTGCTTGGTAATCTTAAGTGACAAAGGTTGGTGAACCTGCACAGAGAAAGGAGTGAGCTCAACACATATTTGCCTGCAACTTCTGCAAGGATGATGGTCCTGCCCTTGCTGGAAGTTTTTTGAGGTTGTAAGTTGTAATTGTTGATTGAGAAGTGAAGGGTGCAAGCTTGGCACAGGTTGTCCCAGGGCTAGGTTCCGCTTAATAACCAGATTCTTCATGTGTGACCACTGATCGATCGCGCAGATCATCGCGCAGAAACACAGAAATTGGATCAGTGGGACCTTGGCCCCAGTCTTCAGACGATAAATTTATCTCGCAATGGTTCACCAAGTGTGGTAAGAGTCATGGAAAAAAAAAAAGCCATGATTTTGGTTTGGGAATTTTGTTACTTTAGGGCATGGTTATCAGCAGGACGTCCGGATCGCGATCCAGACAGTCCGGTGTCCGGTTCGGAGGGTCCAGTTGGACCCCCGATTTCAAAAAATTCAAAAAAAGAATTTTGGGCCTTCCCAGGCCGTCTGCCTGGGCCTCAGGTACCCCGGAAAAATATTGGTGATGTTTTTTTGAGAACCGGTACCCCAACCGGACAGGCCCTGAACGGGCCCTCTGTGTGAAAATTTGAAACGCCAGCTGGGGAGACCACGGTCCCCGAGGAGGAAACTGCTGCAATGGAGGAGAGTGTCGGGACTGGCCAGAATGGTGCGGAGTCCCGGGAGGGGGACGCCTTTGATTCCGAAGAAGAGCCACTTGCACGCAAGAAACACAAACAATCAGAGTCAACAGACTGGGTCGGGATACTTGGGGGTTGGAGCGGGTGTGGAACTGACACTTGGGGCCTGGAGCGGGTGTCGAACTTCGCCGTGTGTGTGTGTGTGTGTGTGTGTGTGTGTGTGTGTGTGTGTGTGTGTGTTTTAGATTTTCCCCACAACAGCCCCAATTCCACCCAGGCGAATAGATTCAGAATCAAAGCAGTCTTTGTCCTATTGCAGACAACGAGAGCATTTGAGATGTCCAACATATTAAAGCAATTTGCCAATTTTATAATTAGACAGTTTTTTGGTTGTCCTTGGGGTACCCCTTTCATTGCTCTTGCAGCTCCCCTTTTACTATGCCTCTTACGCACAAGGCTGCCCACGTTGATTGTGGCTGAGCGGCAGCTGCCCACATCCCCGTGTGCCTTCACTTGCACGTTATTTCAGGAGGCAGAGTAAAAGGGAAGGTATGCTCCTGTGCATCTCTTCAGAGCTTCATAATCCTGTTCATTTCACTTCAGATCTTCAGCTTATACAGTCTTTGTGTCCGTCCTTCATTTTCATACTTCCGTTCATTTCATTTCTGATCTTCATATCGTCTATTCTCTTAATGATGCTCATTCGTATGTATTTGTTAGTAGTACAAAGGGAGTGGAGGGGAGGGTGGAGGGTAAGGGATAGAAGGCGGAGTTCTCTAGGAGTATGGGGCAACGGGAAGGAAAGAACTATGTGGAGCGCAGGATAGAGTATGACATGCAAAGAGCAGGGGAAAGGTGTATGACGGGTTTCACAGATTTCTACATATTCACCGTTGAAGCAGACTTCAAAAAAAAAAAAAAAAAAAAAAAAAAAAGAAGTTTAAAAAACACTAAATATGGCGAGTGGCCACCCCTACAGACCAAACAGGACCGGTTTGGGTGTGGGCTATGGAAGCACCACATCCAATTTTTGCAGTCACATTCGCTGCATCGAATGGCACGGCGCAGACAGATGTCACAGGCTACGTGGCTCGTACATGCCAGGAACAGAGAGGCACGTCGACCACAATTATAGAGGCATTGCCGTTCCAGCCTCTGTCTACAAATTGGACATGACATGTTGGGGTGCCGTACATGAGTACAGAACTGACTGTCATCGTACGTATGGAAGCAAAAACTTGCATGGACTATACCTTCATAATCCTCACGGCACAAGGCATGTGAACCACATGCTAGTTGAATCTCCGGCAGGTCATCGTGTAAGCATGCGATGTATAGGGTAGAACGGACAGCGTAGAATGGACCTGGAGTAGTATCAATCGTGAAGGGTGTGTCTGCATGAAAATGTGCTGCAGGGCGAGTCGTAGGAGGATTTGGACTACCTCTCGACCGAACCCACCTGTTCGAACGATGAGATCGCCTAGTAGGCGGCCGTCGTCCTTGTGGACGGACGCTGTTGAAGCCCTGAGGGTATTAGGTAGTCAGGCGCCAGACCCAAAACCCTTCATGAGGGGAAGCCGCACGTTTAAATGATTCAGGATCAATGGAACCATCAGCATTTAAGTAGAGATGAGGGTCTATGCACTCCAAGGGCCAGACGATAAAATGAATGGCGGTTGTCTAGCCATGGAGTGATAGAGATGTTGTTGCAGACGATAGTGAGCAGAGTATGTGGTTTGCCCAACATATGTGCGACCAGATGGTATGTGGATAATGGCATAAATAACCCCAGGCCTAGGGCTGAAAGAGCATCCATTCCTGGCTGAATGGAGCTCTGATCAATGCCTCGCAATTGCAGTTCAAATTGTTCCGCCTGGGCTGCAGCTGCTACGTAGCGGAGTTGCTTTTTAAACCAACGCCCCGTGTCATAACGATTAGTGTTCCAATCATGATGTGCAACCCAATCAGCTCTATTACATTGTCGTGCATAGCGGTGATGAGAGGAAGAGCAAGGGGGGTTACCATAGAGAGGATCATGAGTAGGGCGTGTGATTCGTGCTGCGTCACTAGCACGGGAATCCCCGTTCAAGTCCCTTTCCTGATTCTCACCTTGTATCGTCGACATCATAGGAATCCAAGGTCCAAGGTTCGGAGAACTTCAAATATGATTAAATATTGAATTCATCAGCATGTCCAACCAGTCCCACAAACCTGTGTGTGTCTGTGTCCTCTGTGTGTGTGTGTGTGTGTGTGTGTGTGTGTGTGTGTGTGTGTGTGTGTGTGTGTGTTTTGTTTTGTTTTTTTTGGGGACGACCGGACACCGACACAGCAAACCGGACTGTCCAAGTCCGGATGTCTGGATGTCCCCGGTTTGATGTCCGGTAAACCAGACGTCCGGTTCGATCCAGACACGGGTCCCGTTGTCCGGGTCCGGGGCAACCATGCTTTAGGGCTCCTTTTGTCACCTTTCCTTGTCCTTTTTCAGCCGTCTTCCTTCTTCTTCCGGGGGAAGGTTCGCTCGCTTTTCGCTGTTTCTTCAGAGTCCTAATGCTCGTTTGTGTTCACTGAGATTACGGTCCCATAACTGCAGTATCTGATAGACGGTGTTGTTTGGGTAAAGAGACTGCCCTCTGTCCTCCAACAAGCAGTAGTAGCAGGTATCTGCTGTGGGGAGACTTCAAGACGAGTCCGTAGAGTGCCAGAGCTCACAACTCTCTTCTGCAAATCAAAGCCCCTCGGTGACAAACTGAGCTGGGCTGCTCTACCCAAACAAGGCTACCGTCTTCACCCGAATAGAACGCCAGGTCATTATAGCTGTATTATTTGGCACAACTTTCGGTCCAGACGCAGCGATAATGACCAGGCGTTCTATTCGGGTGAAGACGGTAGCCGTCTGTCTTGTGGGTGAATGGGTGACCTTCTACCGGACCGTTCAAGACACAAGGACGGCTTTCCTACAGCAGTCAGAATGGCGATCGCATTCTCCTGAGTACCATGGCGCATCCTTCGCCAGCTCTCTAGTCTGAAAAAACAAAAAGGTGAAAACATTCCTGCAGAGCAGGTTGCTTGCTGTGACATTTTGCTTGCAGACCAGGTTGCTTCACAATTTATGATGTCATTTATCATGCAAAGGACTGCAGACTTAAACACACAAGCAGTAAAAAAAAAAAAAGAGAAGAAGAAGAAGAAGAAGAGAGAGAGAGAGAAAGTGTGCCGCTCCGGGCGCTCCCCACAAATAGGCTGGAGCATCCAGCGAGTCCGATAGAGAGGGAGACACTCATATCACTCCCACTAGCAGCACAAGGCTGGCGTTTTCACGAAAAGAAAAAAGAAAAAAGAAAAAAGAAAAAAGAAAAAAGAAAAAAGAAAGCGGTTGAACAGCTTTCAAGCAACACAGACAATACACAAGTAATAGGGCCTCACTCAAGTACTCTCTCGAAATGTGCAACACGAGAGTGAATCTTCCGCTAGAACGTGGAAAGATACATCGCCATGATTTTGTTTTTTTGTGGATGTCGAGAGTAGTGGAGCGAGGCCCATACTCGATGGCACTGGGCAGGTACATGCCATCAGACTCATGCTAGGTGAACTCTGAAAGAGTAAGAGTCGAAGAAAGAAAAGAATGTAAAAAAAAAAAAAAAAAAAAAAAAAAAGGAAGAAGAAGAAGAGGAAGAAGAAGAAGCCTTCAAGGGAATTCAGAAGATAAAGTTGATAAGCAAAATGAACTATATCAATTTGTTAAAAAATACAATAATAATAAATAAGGGTCTACCACAACAGCATCTTGGAAAAGTAAGCCCGGTTCCAGAATCCTGCAAATTAGACCCTCTCCAGCAAAAGTTGCCTTTTTTTGTTTTGCCTTCTGTTGGTAAGGATTCTAAGGAAACATTCAATTCCTCCTTCGGTACATCCGTTAAAATTGGAGCGATACAGAGAGGGGTACATCAGCAAATGGCCCCTGAGCAAGGATGACACGCATAAATCGACAAATAGTCCAAATTTCAAAAAAAAAAAAAAAAAAGAAGGAAACAATGAAACATTCAATTATATAGGCAAAGATACAGACCGTATGGAGCAACTGGCCACAACAGGGGGCAAAATTGGCAAATGCAGAACAGATGGGGCCAACTGACCAGCATGGGGAAATCCCACACGAGACTGCGCCACCTGGGCACCACATGCAAAATGCAAATGCAGACCAGATCGGGCCAAAAAGCCGCCTCAGGGGAACAGCTCCCACTGCCATCAGCAGTCTGTAGTACTCTGTACTTTATCAGCCACAGGACCTCCTCTGTGTACACACATGGATTCGAACCGGCGCCCTCAGCCTCAAGAGCCGAGCCTCTTAACCACCACAGTCATGGCACAGTGTACAAAAGTGAATACATGCCGGTTCGTGATCCACTCCACCCCTGCATGGCTGTAGTGTCCTTCAACTCACACACACACACACACACACACACACACACACACACACACACACACACACGCGCACACACAACACCGCACAAGGCATTTGCCACACAGGCAGTGGTCGCACAGTCCGCTCTCATCCAGCACAACTGCTTATCCTTCGGTTTATCCACGGGCCACCATATCCAGGTATGATTTCCGGGCTGGTTACCCAGCTATGATTCATCGAAGGCCCATGCAACTGTGGTTCGCACTCAATGCAGTCCCGGTTTTGTACTCGTTGAAATCTCAGCAGACACCTGGAACAAGAACCCGAACAATTGCTTACGTGCTAACCAATCCATCAATTGGTAAATCCAGAAATAGGTATATAATCTTTACAAAAGCCGGCGAAAAAGTTGGTGAAGGTTTTGAATGAACACGCCTTGTGCCCGGTGCGCCATCTGTATACGCATGCGTTGACAAATCAAACAGAGAAACGCTACTAATCCGGTGCGCTATCTCTGTCACTGTCTTCCCTCGAACACAATGCACCTTGATTATGAATGCATACAAGCTGTCATTCCAGTCCCATGCAGGCAAAAACAAAAGAGGGTGCGCTGTGCTCGGGGGAAGATGGTAGTTGTATGTCTGCATGAAGGCCATACCTCACAAGGCTCGCAAGCATCGCAGCCTCATTTTGAACCAGAGAGTGACCCCCACCCGGCATCCTCGGCTGGTTTCCGTAACCAACCTTCCTGGGCGGCCAGAGCATATTCGCTCTCGACTGCTTCACTACATTTTTGAAATGAAGCCGTGCGTTTTGCCATACCCTGAGTCGCCCGAGTCAAGACAGCTGACTGTGTCCTTGTACATCTCCAGCTTGAGGACCTGGTAGATGGACCGATCCCATTTCCGTTTGGCCAGCTCGGTTGCTCTTCTGACTGCCTCCGCCAGGGTTGGCCCTTCTCCGCCTTCAACTGCCTCGTCAACAATGCCGGCTGCTGCTGCTCCTCCGGCATCGTACCGCTTTCCTGCCAAGATCATATTCCTGTAGGTTCCAGTGGGCACCTTGCACTTTACCACGGCATTCATTCCGGGAGTCAGTGGGAGGCCGATATCCACTTCGTTCATGAAGATGAAGCCTTTGTCTCTGCGCATCACTCTGTAATCGCTGTCTCTTATACACATCTAGATGTGTATAAGAGACAGGTACCGCTTTCCTGCCAAGATCATATTCCTGTAGGTTCCAGTGGGCACCTTGCACTTTACCACGGCATTCATTCCGGGAGTCAGTGGGAGGCCGATATCCACTTCGTTCATGAAGATGAAGCCTTTGTCTCTGCGCATCACTCTGTAATCGTGCGCGAGGGCAATCATGCACCCGCCTGCTGCAGCGTGCCCACAGATTGCTGCCACGGTAGGAATCGAGAAACAAAGAAATCGGCGAAGCAAGGCATGAAAGCTGTCGAACAACTCTTTCTTGCGGCCCCGGTTGGCCTGCAGCCATTTCAAATCTAGACCGTTGGAATAAAATTTCCCCTCGTTGGTGGTCACCAGCGCTGCCGCATCCCGCGAATTCTCGACTTCATCCAGCGCATTATTGATAAGCTGCATCGTCTCGGGGTTCAGCCTGTGCTCATCAGTGCCTTTCAGCGTAAGAATAAACACAGGCCCCTGTCGGCGGAGATCAGCGAATGATGTCATCTTGTATAATGTCACAAAGGGACTACGCTGCACCAAAGCTGTGCTCTCCTTAGCTATGCAGAGCCAATGCAGACTTCTCTAAACGGGATCGCAGGAGCAAAAGAAGACCTGCAGGGAAAGTTGTGCACAGCCATTCCCATCAAAGGGCAAACAGACAGACAGGCGCAGAGTCGCAGACAGACAGATGAGGGATACATAGATGAACAGAACCAGACTGCTCTAAGGTGCAGGCGCGAAAAAAAAAAAAAAAACCTGCAACAGAAGTTGCACACAGCCATTCCGACCATTCCGATCAAAGGATAAACAGAAGGACAGATGCAGACAGATAGATAGACCCATGCACAGATGGACAGACAGCCAGATCACAGCTAGTGAGTACACAAAGAGAAGCTGACAGATGGAACGCAAGGAATCGGCAGAATGAATATACAGACAGATGGGCAGGTGGACACGCAAATAGATAGACAGGTGGATAGGCAGGTGGATAGGCAGCTAGGCTACCAGAGCAGGCCGGGACCACCTGCCCGGCCGGGCCAAAAATAAACAAAAATTACTGTGTTAAAATCCGGACCGCCCGGAGGCCCTCCCTTCGTCCGGTAGGGCTCCCGGGCGGCCCGGCTGGTTGGGTCCCCCGGTTAGGCGCCGGGCGGGCCCAGCACAATTTCGCACGCGGGGGGGGGAAGGCCTTTTTCGGCCAGTGGCGGCCTCCCCAGACGCCTGGTGCTTGAAAAAAAAATTGGACTTTCAAGAAGGGAAGGGCAGGCCTTTTTCGGCGACTGATCCCAGCCGCCGATCTGCGAAGATCGGCGGCTGGGATCAGTTGCTGAAAAAGGCCTTGTCACATCCCCCCTGGCGGGCTACGACCCCGCATTCGAATTCAAACGGGGGATTGTCCTCCCCGCACACGAAGTTCGAAGCCCCACCATCGTCATCAACCTGCCCGTCGTCATCAACCTGCCCGTCACCATCGACCAGCCCCTGGCGCGTCGTCATCGAGCTTCCCTGGCCCGTCGTCATCCAGATGCCCTCCGCGCGTAGCCAACCTCCTCCTCCTCCTCGCGCGGAGCTCCCAACGCGCTGCCCGTTGTTGAGCTGCCAGGTCCTCGTCAATCTGCCCATCGTAAAGGTGCCGACCTCCTCCTCCTCTCGTCTTCTTCTTCTTCACTCCTCTTCCTCCTCCTCATTTTGTCTTCTTTCCTCTCCTCCTCCTCCTCCTCTCATCTTCTTCTTCTTCTCTCCTCCTCCTCCTCATTTCGTCTTTTTTTTTCTCTCTTCGTCCTCCTCCTCCTCTCCTCTCGTCTTCTTCTTCTTCTCTCCTCTTCCTCCTCCTCTTGTCTTCTTCTTCTCCTCTCCTCCTCCTCCTCCACCTATTTCCGTCTTCTCCTTCTCTCCTTCTCCTCCTCCTCGTCCTTCGTTGTCCTCTTTTTTTTTTTTTTTCCCCGTCATCCCCATATACTACCGGCAGGTCCTCCTCCTCCTCCTCCTCCT